TTCACATGTACATGCGACGTGAGCTACAAAGGTGGGATGCACTTCAGCAAGTCGGGTTATAAATCCCCTAATATGGGTGATAACTAAAAAACTACCCCTAGACCCTAAACCCTAAACCCTATAGAACCCTTTAAAGGAACCCCACTTATAACTACCCATGAACCTCCAAGCAGGGGTTGGGATGGACCGTAGGGCCTGAGCTGGCTGAGACCCATCCCGACAACCTGAAGCTACCATCGCGGAATGCTTCGCTTGGGGTCTGGGTGCAGGGTTCATCGTGGCGGTATGGGTGCAGGCTGTTTAGGATTTAGGGGTTTAGGGGTTTAGGGGTCAAGGAATCAGGAAATTGCAGTACAACCTTGTCTAATCCGGTGCGAGACCCCTCGAAGATCTCTGCAAATCACGAATGGCCGCTCCAAAAGCTATGCACGCACGCGCGCATAGTCACCCTAAACCTGTTTTAAACCCAAACCCTAAACCCTAAACCCTAAGCCACCAACCAGCACTTCCAAAAGCTCACTGGCGGCCTTGTCATCCCGAACTCTGACATGAAGCTTTAGCTTTCCCTAACCCCCCAGGTACCTACTATTTAAATTTAGGGCCTAAGGGTTTAGGGTTTAGGGTTTAGGGTTTAGGGTTTAGGGTTTAGGGTTTAGGGCTTATGGGCTCTAGTACCCTATATAGTAGGTACCTGGGGGGTCTAGGGTTTGTTATCAACCTAAGCTTTGAATTCCACCGTCGGCACGAACCTGCACCAGCCCTAAACCCTAAACCCTAAACCTGTAAACCCGTAAACCCTGAACCCCTAAACCCTAAACCCCAAGACCCTAAACCAAAACCCTACACCGTAAACCAAAACCCTAAACCTGAAACCCTAAACCCTGAACTTTCCCACTCGAGATGCACATCGACTCTCCGTTCACGACTTTGTCGAAAACTCTTGGCATGTCCGGCTTCCTCGCGAAATTGGCGTTCGTGGTTCAGGGCTCAAGGTCTAGAGGTTTGCGGGGGGGTTTAGGGCCTTGGAGTTTAAGGTCTAGGGTTGAGGGTTTTGGGGGTTGGGCTTATGCATTTTGCATATGGTGCCCATAATGAGTTGGCGTTGCTGGTTGTGAGCTTGGCTTCTCGATTGAGAAGAATGTTTTTCGTGAAGGCTCTTGTTGATTACCCTGACTTACTTCCCCAAATTAGCCAGGAAAATAAACGGTTAGTTTTTCAGATTACTACTAAACGAACTATAAGAGCTCAAAATGTTTCAAGGTTGGGTATTGGAGAACTAAGCTAACCTAAGCCCGTTGTTGTTGGGTTTTGTGTTCGGGCTTCGGTTCACTGCTCTTCTGATCGTTCCGCATGGACCTACACATCAATATACAAAAGACCGTACTTTTGGGCATCGCAGTGTAATACGGCTCCTCCGCGGCGCTTTGATTATGAATCAGAATGGGGTTGCGGGGTATTGCCGACGTCCAAGCTAATGCCTGCAGCCCTAAACCCGAACCCCTAAAACCCTAACACTCGAAACTTCAATGTAGAGTCTTAGAGCCCTAAACCCTAGAGCCCAAATTTAAAACCCTAGCAGGCCATCTACAACCCCCATATATGATCCCTTAGCCCAACCAAAGGCCCGGCGAACATTCAGGGCTTGAAGAACATGAGGGCCTGAACGACGAGAATAGAACAAAGATTTTCTCTAAGGCTTCTGAAAAGGCTACTATAAGGCTTACACTTACTTTCGGAACACGTCTAACTTATCAGAGCCCCTACAGTTGACAAGTTAGGTTTTCGACCACTAAACCCTAAACCCCTAAACCCTGAACCGCGAAACTATAAGGCTTACTACTACTACTACTACTACT